TCCATATTTGACGAAGTATAAAATATGTTTACAACATAATCATTTTAGCCCTAAATGATCCACATCGGGCTGAGGGGCCTTTAAACACAATAATCAACCCTCAATCTTAAGTCTTGTATTGCTGGTAATATTTCATTTTTAAATGCATTGATGGTAATATTTGCTTTTCAAAAATGTATTTCTAGCAATATTTTTTCTTAAAAATATATTACTGATAATATTTTTTATAATTTGTTACTGGTAATATGTGTTTTAAAAACGTATTGATGGTAATATTCCTTTTTCAAAAATATATTGCTGGTAATATTTTTAAAAAAAAAATGAATTGCAGGTAATTTTTTAAAATGTATTGGTGGTAATAATTTTTTTTTCAAAAATGTATTGTTGGTAATATATTTTTACAAATTCTATTGCTGGTAATACTTGTTTAAAAACGTATTGCTTGTAATATTTTTTTTTCAAAAATATATTCCTGGTAATATTTTTCTTTTCTAAAATGTATCACTGGTAATATTTTTTTTTTCTAAAATGTATTGCTGGTAATATTCTTTTTTCTAAAATGAATTGCTGGTAACTTTTTTTTTTCAAAAATATATTGCTGGTAATATTTTCTTCAAAAATGTGTTACTAGTAATATATTTTTTTTTTTAAATGTGTTGCTGGCAATATTTTTCAAAAGTGTACTAATGAATTGCTGGTATTTCTTTTTCTTTTAAATTTGAAATTTCTGTTTTTCAATACCCACACTGCGACTATGCTGAGAGGACCCTACTTAAAAAGCGAGCGTATTATTTGGTGTGATCAACAGTCAAACAAGGTCAGCACGCTCAAATCGTTGAACACGATGATTTTCGCCGAAATACTTCCATTTACCCATATATATATATATATATATATATATATATATATATATATATGGGTAAATATATGAAAAGAATATATATGTAAAAAATATATATATATGAAAGAAAATATATATGTATGAAAAAATATATATATATATATATAATAAATTAATTGATTTAAAATATGTTTTTTTTTCGCTACACAGTTCTAACCATGTTTCAAAAATGGAAGCTAAAAGCTTTGAATTTAATTTTGTAATTAAATTATATATCTTACTGTTCTTTTTTATTTATATATACATGTATATATATATATATGAATATATATATATATATATATATATATATATATATATATATATATATATATGAATAGGAATATATATGAAAGAAAATATATATGTATGTATATATATATATATGAATATATATATATATATATATATATATATATATATATATATATACATATATGTAGGAATATATACATACACACACACACACATATATATATATATATATATATATATATATACTTTCTAAAATGTCCGTATTTAAAGCTATTTTAATATTTATTGATTATTTAAGATTTACTGATTATTTAAGTATGTTTTCATAAATTGAAACTATATTGAGTGTTAGTTAAATTGAGTCGATTTAGTACCAAGATCACAAAATATATGGCAAATGATTCAATAAATGACAAAATCAATGAGTTATATGGCCAATATATGACATGTATGGTAAATGTTTCAATAAATGACAGGTTTCTGACAAATACATTTTGTCAGCTCGTTGTAGCAACAAAGTGAAAGGAAAAGGTGATTTAAATCATCCACTAACTTTTGGCTATACACAAACAAGGGAAAGGCTTATAGACTTAATCACAAGGAAAAATCCGATGTCACTCTATGAGGCTCAACTGAAAAGTTCCTAGACTGACCAAGATACTTTCATGGTATGTGACCAAATGAGGTTTATTTTTCAACATAGTCCCACTTGCGATTTATATACTTCTTCTATCGGTGTTGCTGTCCTTGGATCACATTGGTGAAAAAGCTTTCATCCTGTTGGTCAAAATAGTCATCAACAGCAGATATGACGCCATCATTATTGTAATACTGTTCCCATTCAATGATGATTGTCAGATGGGCCAAATCCGAAGAATAGGGAGACTGATCAACCAATTAAATACCAAAGCCATGCACAGGCGAAGTTGGAGTGTGCTGGTGCATTTTCCCGATTAAACAAGACCCCTTTCATCAGTTTTCCTAGATGTTTGGCCTTAATCAGCTAGTTGGCATAGTACTCTCCATTGATGGTGTAGCCCTTTTGAAGATAGTCAATAAACACAATGCTTTTTGCATAAAAAAATAACTGAACCCATCACCTTCCCTACAGATGAAACAACGTAAGCTTTCTTTAGAGCTGTTGAGTGTTGTTCCCTCTGCATGGAGTATCACTTTCTCTCTAGCTCTTACTCCTGTACCTCGAGTGGCTCTTGAGCCTTGTACAGGATCAACGTCATTGCAAATCTTGTACAAGGTGTACATTGTCTGTCGTTATATAATCCTGTAAATTTCTATACTTGATTCTGATGCATCTAATTTGAAGCTCAAACCTTTAATTGCTTCTCTTACTGACAAACATAAATTCTGTTGTTGGTATAAGATAACTTCATTGATTACAAGATGATCAAATATCAAATCTAAATTGTTTATTCATTTTAAATCTGGTCTCGCTCTACAAGGGTCAACTGAAAAGTTCATAAGCTGACCAAGATACTCTTTTGAATTCTATCAAGACTGAAAAGTGAGGTCTGAGCATCTCCCACCCAAATATAACAACAGCTCTTCACTATTGGCTTGATCTGGCTCTTATAAAGGTAGAGGATGGCTTGAGGAGTCTGGTACTTACTGGAGCAGCAGAGGAAGCTGATCATTTTACCTGCATCTTTGGCGATGGATCGTATATAGGAATTCCACTTGAGGTCAGGTGTGAGTTTGAGGTACTGCTGCCATATATTGGCAGGAGGTCCCTAGTCTTCCCTTTCAAGTCTCAATAGTCCAAAAGCATCTCCATGTCCTTGTGGGTGATGAATTAACTTCCACCCTACAACCCTTTTCTCATTAGATGAAACCTTGCTAGTCTCTCTCTATTTCTATTCCCGTAGAAAGTGTTCAGATAAACTCTATTCCTTACTTTCACCAATTTTAATCTTCATGGCTAAGACCTGCCATGCACATTGTAGCAAACCGAACTCATTCCCTTCAAATTCTATTGGTGAGATGTAAGTTTCATTCAAGCAGCTTTTTCTCACAAACACCTTCTTTGTGAAACTGACTCCAAAGAGGATGCTTTCCCAATCATTACAATTATAACCTGTTAAATTCTAGGATCAAACATTATTCCCATAAATTGTGCCTCTTACTCTGTAACTCTGTACCTCGAGTGGCTCTTTGGCCTTGTACAGGGGGGACATCATTGCAAATCTTGTACAAGATGTATGTTGTCTGTCATTATATAATTCTGTAAATCTCTATACTTCCTTGATTCTGATGCATCTAATTTGAAGCTCAAACCTTTGATTGCTTCTCTTACTGACAAACATAAATTCTGTTGTTGGTACAAGTTAACTTCATTGATTACAAGATGATCAAATATCAAATCTGAATTGTTTATTCATTTTAAATACGAGGAGTGACTGAAAACTTCACAAACTGACCAAGATATTTTCATGGAATATGACCAAATGAGGTTTATTTTTCAACATAGTAATTCTTGCTCTCCACACAACTCTTCCCTCAGTGTTGCAGAGCTTGAATCTCATTGGTGAAAAAGCTTTTATCCCATTGGTCAAGAAATTCATCAGCAGCAGATATGGCGCCATCATTATTGTAATAATGTTCCCAATCAATGATGATAGTCAGATGGGAAAAATCAGAAGAATAGCGAGAGTGATTAACAAATTAAGAAGTAAAGACACTCACAGCAGACGTTGGAACCAAAGTCTTGTGTGCTGGAGTATTTCCTGATTAAACTAGACCCCTTCCGTCAGTTTTCGTGGAATTTTGCTCATGATAGCCTTCCGTAAATACCTCAGCATTTTGCCATAATATTTTCCATTGATGGTGTGGACCTTTCGAATATAGTCACCAAATGCAATGACTTTTGTATCTCAAACAAATGAGGCCATCATTTTCCCTGTAGATGAAACGACCTTGGCCTGCTTTCAGGCAGGTCATTAGGAATGTATCCACTGTATGGATTGTCGCTTTGTCTCTGGCTCAAAGAAATTAACTCAACACTCAGCTTGTTTTAGGAAACGGTTCAAGGAAATCAGCTGACACAAACAATATCAGATTTTCCTGCGATCAGCCTGTGCATTTTATATCAGGTGTCAGATGATTGAGGCACACACCGAGCAGAAACCATGACGTGAACACAATGTGTTTTTCTGGTTGCAAGAAGTCGAAACCTTGGATCATCTTTATGATTCTTAAATTCACTATTGACAAAGCTGATACGCCATCTCCTAATGCAGCAAACATATCGGCATGAATTTTTTTTTTGGAGGGGGGTGGCTAAACCCATTTTTCTGCAGATACATGATAACGCCATGATGTCTGATATTGACCATTTTCAAGAGAAGTCTCTACTAGATACTTCTGAAAATCATCTTCGAACAATCAGAAGTCATTTTATCTAGAAATTAACAATGTAGTTATTAATACGAGTTGAATTGCTGCATGGCAGACTTCACAGCACGAGCATCAATCTCTGAAACTTTCAGCTGACCCTTGTAAGGCAGTTCGCGGCTCTATTGCGAACAGTTCTGATAACATCTGCGACGGCGCTGGAACTATGTGAATTGGCCCATGTCTTTCCATTGGACCATTTCAGTGACATAAAGAGCAGAAAACTACTGATTGGCTAAACGTCTGTGTAGCATATTTACTCTCCCCCTCAGGATTTGTGAATAGGTCTGTCAAATCACAATGGACTCTGCGGTCTGAAACATCGCCCAGAACACATATCCATGTTCACCAAAACTGATAAATGCCTAGATATAGATATCCACAATCGATATCTATTATCTAATCGATTAATATCTAGAATGATACATTCATCATTACAATTGGTTCCCTTAAAAAGAAAGTTACTGAAGACTCACCCTAATCTATCTATCTATCTATCTATCTATCTATCTATCTATCTTATTCTGTTAATATCTATCTATTATTCCGTTCCTATTTATGGCTTGTGACCACATCATGTTGAAACACTGGTTCCTGTACGATCAAGCAGTTAAGCAGCGTTGAGACTGGTCAGTACCTTTTGGGAATACCAGGTGCTGTAAGCTTGGATATGAGGGTGGTGTAATGGATAATGTCTCGGAATTGTTAATCGGAGAGCTGAGTTCCAATTACCATTGGGTTCGTCATATTCACTTACACGCAAATACCCTTGAGAAAGCTATGAGTACACTGCTTCTCACCCAGATCTGGTTTAATTAGTAAGATTTGTATTGCTAAATCATTAATATCTTAACAAGAATTGTTACAATCTAAAAATATTTTGTCGCTTTAAATAACCTGCAAAATGTTTGTAAGCCGTAGAAACCGAAACAAGTAATCATGCTCATATCTATCTATCTATCTATCTATCTACCTATCTATCTATTTATTCTGATCTATCTATCTATCTATCTATCTATCTATCTATCTCAATCTATTCTGACCTATCTATCTATCTATCTATCTATCTATCTCACCGTTGACATCTATCTATTTATCTGTCTATTCTGATCTATCTATCTATCTATCTATCTATCTATCTATCTCAATCTATTCTGACCTATCTATCTATCTATCTATCTATCTCACCGTTGACATCTATCTATCTATTCTGATCTATCTATCTATCTATCTATCTCACCGTTGACATCTATCTATCTATATATTCTGATCTATCTATCTATCTATTTCAATCTATTCTGACCTATCTATCTATCTCAATCTATTCTGACCTATCTATCTATCTATCTATCTCACCGTTGACATCTATCTATCTATCTATCTATCTATCTATCTATTCTGATCTATCTATCTATATATCTATCTATCTCAATCTATTCTGATCTATCTATCTATCTATCTATCTATCTATCTATCTATCTCACCGTTGACATCTATCTATCTATATATCTATCTATCTCAATCTATTCTGATCTATCTACCTATTCTGACCTATCTATCTAGCTAGCTAGTTAGCTAGCTAGCTAGCTATCTCACCGTTGACATCTATCTATCTCAATCTATTCTGACCTATCTATCTATCTATCTATTCTGACCTATCTATCTATTTATCTATCTATCTATCTATCTATCTATCTATCTCAATCTATTCTGATCTATCTATCTATCTATCTATCTATCTATCTATCTATCTCACCGTTGACATCTATCTATCTATCTATCTATCTCACCGTTGACATCTATCTATCTATGTATCTATTCTCGGTCTATTTATATTCATCTAACTATTCAGTCTGGATGTGCGGGTGGAGCAGTGGTTAGTTAGCTGTGAATAAACAATCAGTAAGAAGTTCGAATTACAGCCTTCCTTGCAAAAGGCCTGACTCCTCGTCCTCACGCAACCTATGAAGGCTATCATATGTGAAAACCGCCGTATACAAAAGACATCTAAAGAAACACGAAAACAATGGTTGAAACGTTGTGATAAAACATTAAAAAAGATGAATGCAGTAATTATAACAATAGCAAAGGATAATATTAACCCTTTACTTATGAGGAGACATTCGGCATTCATTGATCGAATAACTAGTGCTACTCAAGTTTGCTTTTCTTTGGGCTGGGATCAAAGGGTAGTATCAGTCCTACTCATCTTAATATGTTTTATGTTATTTAGCACAGTTCTTTGATTCTGTAGCGTCAGTCGGCAAGGTTCGGAAAAGGATGAACCCCGATAGAACCTACAGTTAAAAGTCCTTAAATGTATGAAATATATAACAAAAAAAAGTCAGCGAAAACAGACCATCAAAAGGAATGTGGTGACGTACAGAAACAGCAAGTTACCAGGACCTAAATCGAGAGTAATCGAATCAATCAATTTTTAAAAGATCGATACCATCTTGAGGTGTTTTCGTGTTTGGACCAAATATTATGGAGGGAGAAAAGAGATTTAGAATGATGCAAAGAACGACCAGGAGAAATATCTATTATTGAGGAGATTCTCTTCTTCGTCACTCATAAAGTTCGACAGAAATGAATATCAAGCAAATAGTGCCCTCCTCCCTGTAAGCATTACAATGATCGAGACGAATCCATCAATGCAAGTTTCAAGTATTGAATATTGTGGCGTGTCGAAAGATCTCCCCGCTGGTGAATTGCTTCACAGATACTGAATAGCTTTTAATGAAGTTTTCTATATCGAGGAAGCGGTATGTTCTCTTGTCTAGGGTTCTTCCCTAGTTAGACAGATGCAGAAACAACACATGACGTCACTTGGCGTTTATCTTTCATTCACAATTATCATTTCTTTCTTAATTTCTATCTGTTACTTTTCTTTTTGTTGTCGCTAGAGACAGAAAAAAAGTTACAGTTAAATCTATAACTATTGGGTTTGGAACAAAAATTCGTAGCGTTTTTTCGTGGGTGGCGTTCGAACACGTGATTTAGATTCACATGTGACTGAGATTTATCGCATTGGATTAATGGATAGAGGAATCGGAGAGCCGAGTTCGAATTCCAGACGAATCCATTATATTCACTTACATGCTAATAGCCTTGTGAAAGGCATGAATCCTCTTCTTCTCCCTCCAGCTATGGGTAAATAGCAGGACAGACCGGGTTGCCTTGGATGGCAACTGATCTACCGCAGAAAGAAATGGCAACATACTGCGGGAAAAAATCTGCCTCGTCAGTCATGTATCGAAAGATATATGATCGCCTAAGCGCGTATCATGCATGGCACATAACTAATTGAATATACAGCGCTGTTCGATAAAAGTGACTCACCTTATCCTTTGAATTTAGCTCAACTTTCGTTTCATCGGAGAAGAGAACATTCTTCCAGTCTTCTACGGTGAAATTTTTGTAATAGTGAATCCCATTCAAGTCTCTTGGCTTTGTTGACTTTGCTTATTAGCGGCTTAAACCTTCGTGTACAAGATTTGTAGCCTTGTTCTAACAAGATTGTAACCTTGTTCTGACGGACTGTTGAAGAGGCAAGACTAACACCTTGCTCTTCGCTTAGACTGGCATCAATTCCTTGGCTAGTTGTAGTCCTATTCGTCGCAACTTCTCTCTTGATTACCCTGCCAGTTCTATCATCAATCTTTTTCCTTCATCTCCTTGTTTCCTTCCTTGGAGCAGGAGTGGCATCATTATGTCCCCTAAGCACTCGAGTGACAGTTGATTGCGAGGTTATAGCAATTTCTGCAATTTCTCTCGTAGACTTGCCTGCTTTTGAGAGGGCAATAATAGATGCCTTAAGTGGTTCTGATGCATGTTTCTACCCTTTCATCTGGTTAGTGACTTGAGTGGCTATTTCAAGCTGTTTTTATACTGTATGAGGCTTTCTGGAATATTCTGGAATACTCTAGATTTAATTTAAGCTGTTCTAGAATTCTCTAGAATATTGTTCTGGATGTATTGTAAAATAGTTTTCAATATTTTGTCAAAAGCTCCTTAAATTTACCAGTTTAATCATTAGAATGCGATATCGGAGTCACTTTTTTTGCACAGAGATTTTTCCTGAATCTCATTTATATCCAAATTTATAATTATCAATAGAATACCTTAGGGTGAATAAACTTTTTTACTAGGTGATCAGGAATGGGTCTTTATATTAATAAGATTAAAAATTATTTTAACCTCATAAAAAATAGACAAAAAATATTTTTAGTAAAAAAATCAGGTGAGTCACTTTTATTGAACAGCACTATATTTTGAATTGCAAGAACAGTTTTTTTTTCTTTTCTACGTGTGAATGTTGCATAAACAATTTCTTCAGAATGACAATGATTTTTTTTTCAGATATGATTCCTACTATTTCACCTATAGCTGGGAGGACTACAATTACTCTTGGCAATATTTAGTTGGCCTAGGAATCTTGAATCTATCAGATTTGTTACTATTTATTTTCTTACGTTTTTGGAATTATATGACATAAGAATTTCTCTATATCAAAAGAATGTTGAATAATAGTATATATTTTTACATTTTGTGATTCTATTTACCTCAGATTTTCTTTTAAGCATTTCACTCCAAGCGAGCCGAGATGCCACTAGCACGCAAGGGGTTACAGAGAGTGGGAGTGAGAGAAAAGAGGCGTGATAGAGGAAAGGATGACGAGAAGGACAGGGAATAGATCAAGGCATTTGAATAGTTGGAGATTATAGCTATCAGGGAGACAAGTAATAGGAAGGGAATTCCACAGACAGGAAGTGCGAGATAAGAAGCTGTTGGAATAGAAGAGACGGCTACATTTAACCGTTTAACAGTGAAAGGGTGGGGCCGTGATGCCAGCCTAGTTGCACGCTTAAATTCATGCAGTCTGGGAACTAGCGAAAGTAGCTCGTCGGAGCAGTTACCGTGAAAGTATTTGTAGAAAAGACAGAGGGAGGCGACGGCACGTCTGTGAGAGAGCATCTGTAGACGAGATGCCAGATCAGGGCCAATTATATTGTATTATATATTATTTTGTCGAGGACCTTAAGACGAACAGCGGGGGCACCAGACCATATGTGGCAGCAGTATCCCGTGCGCGGGTGAATGGCTGATTTATAGATTTGAAGGATGGAATCGGGCGAGAAAATCTTTCTGGCGCGACACAGGGAACCGACTTTCCTTGCGGTAGATGAAGCTATTGATTCAATCAATTTGTTCCATCCCAGGTCAGCAGACAGTATGAGACCAAAGAGTCGTAAAAAAGATGCTCTCGTGGCGTTGAGCGTCAGACATTCTAATGGGAGACGGGGATGGTTCTCCGTGGTGGGTAAAAGAGAGCAGTTTTGTTTTTGAGGCATTAAAGTTAACCAGCCAATTCCTGCCCCCCTCCACGACCGATTGGAGGCATTTTCGCATTTATTGGATTGTTAGTGGATTTAACGTCATATCGAGAAGAAGCCGCAGCATGTGGAGATCAAAAGAATGACAATGACAAAAAGAAGAAATAAGAAAAAATACGAAGGACGAGAAAGTTGCACTGTTTAATATCGAATCCCGTTTTTCCTGCATTTAT